TTAATGTCCTTGTTCGACAATCAAGGTCAGAGGCGTCATATGTTTAAATCTTTTAATAGGTTCTTATGAAATCTTAAGATTACAAGTGTTAGATTAATAACAGGTGAGCGATGCAGGCCCATTGGGCCTCTTGTTGAATATCATATATATATATATCCAGTGTAAAAACAGCTGAAACTCTCCTTTAGTTAATGTGCATGTGACAAAAGTTAAACATTCAATAATTTCATTTATAGAATGATATAAACATGTATATAAAAGCAGATTGCATGGCATGATGGTTCAAGTATTCATTTGATTTCAAGTTATTTCTTTCTGATCCTTCCAAACTTTTCATTTCCGGAGAGTTTATCTCAAAATATAAAAACTCATTCTGAAATTTGACATGGGGATACACTGTGATATGTAGATGTGCAATAGGGATTTTAAAGGTTTCTAAGATCAAGTTCAAGGTCAAGGTCACTGTTACTAAAAATAAACCATGGGGGTAGAGTCCTTATCTCGGATTCCAAAAGACTAATATTTTGGGAATTAGACATAGTGATACACAGATGTTTAATAGGGGTTTACTCGGTTTTTAAGATCAAGGTCACTTTTCCTGGGGATACAGTCAGGCACATGGCTTGTTTACCTTGTTGACCTTGATGTGTTCTAGTTTTAAATAGATATTATGAACAAAGGTTTCAATAGCTGAAAATAAAGACAATTCTCTAATCGGGGGGTGTACAATGTCATATTTAGAGTTCTAGCCCACAGATGGATTCTGAAAATTTCTTCTATAGCGTGACCTATATATATTTTCAAAGTAAATATTGAACATTTTTACTAAGCCCCAACATTACGTATACCAGCCCTGGGCATCGGTGCTAGTGGAATTTATATATACCCCTGCAAATGTGGATGTTATTGCTATTTTGTGTGAGGTAAATTATGAAACAGATAGGGTGTAACCAGGACTATTTGATAAACAGTTCTAATTTAACAAAACATATATTAGAGTTAACAAAACTTCCAAAATAAAATATCAAAATATTTCAAATATTTCAATTTTCCTTCAGATTTAGTATTTCTTATATTTGAAATATATCATTTTCTCAGGCAATATACCTACTGTATTTTTATTTCAAAATCCTTTCTGAAGAGTTATTACAATATTAAATATGAAATACAAGAAATGATTTCCTGGTATTGTTGTGTGGTGTACCATTGTTGTAGTCCTCCAAGAAATCATATCTTTGTGGTTTGATTGAGGATTTCCTCAGTGAATATGTTAGACATGGGAATATAGATACTGTCTCACTTTTCCTTCCAAATAGCATGTTGGAATGAGGATCATATTTCTCCGCAATCGTGAATTCTTCCACCTTTTGTGAGAAGTGAAATATTGAAACATGTTTATCATTTACCCATTATTGTTTTCGAGGTTGTGTGTTCTATATGTTTTATATTGTATTTCTGTGTTTTCCTCTGTTGATGTTAGAAGTAACTTACTGGATAAACGAAGTGCCTAAGTGATCGTTATTTAAAGATACATGTATTACTGTGAAATCACTAATTTTGTGAGGTTTTTAATTTTGCTGATTTCATGGGTGCTCTTCATCCACAAATTCATAGGTCCATGAAGTAATTACGAGTTTGATGTAAACCTAATCCATGAACTCATGTACCTACAAAATTGTGTTTTGTCATGAAACCACAAATTTGGGCCCCATGAAATATCTGATTTCACCGTACTTTCAATTTTTTGTGAATATCTGTTAGTAACGTACATTGCCTTTCACTAACCAGCTGATTGTACTTTGATGTTTGTTTGGCTGAGCTATAAATTGAATTTATCTTGATACTGCTAGTCATGAGAATCGTTCATAATTACAATACTAAACCGAACTAACACTGTTTTGAATGAGATTTTTGATAGGATATAGTTTGACAATGTACGGCTTTGGTTGTGAAGTTTTATACCTGACAATGTAAGTAGCCTGACATTAATTCTGGTTTAATCGTTCCGTACTAGTCATCCAGATGTTTAACGACATAGTGGATTTATATAGAAATGTGTTTGCATGAACTAACTTGCATATGTGAATGTCTTGTTTTGCAGGAACAAGAAGAACGGAGAAGAAAAGTAAGCATGTCTTGTGTTACTAACTATATCTCGTTGTACCAGGTTTTCTTACAACTTTCCTTCAAAGTAGCCTTTCATCCCTCTAAAATTGCATTTTAAAGAGGCATGTCCCTTTCAGCAGCCCTTCTACCGTCTTTACTGTATAGGTTCCGTTTTCATTCTGGGGGTTGAATAAATAGACAACAAATAAAATTGCATCACTCTATAAAACGATGGTGGAAAATTAAAATTGTCGTACAAAAAAATAATAAACAAATATTTTCAATTACAATGTCATGGATTGCATTGGGTCTGATTATTGTCATCAATCAAAGTGTTTTTCCATTATTCAGTTATGATGATAAATACTTATATTTAACCATCAAAAATGACAACAAAACATTTTCTTCAGAAGCCTGATATCCTTATATGGAATTCTTATTGAAAACTGTTTAGAGGTCAATAGCACAATATAACAGTATGCATATTGTCATGTCATATGGCCATCATTTCATTTTTCTTAGAGTTATAGCCCTTTCAATTTAGCTTCCAGAGTCATTCTTAAGTTTTAATCCCAAAATCATGGAACTGACTTTATAGAGATCCCTAGCTGACACAGTAATGCGGGAGGTGTGCCAAATTGAGGTTTTGGCTAATAATACGGATTTTCCATCACTACCCCGCACAATCTGGGGTGATTGACACCTTTGTCAAGGATATGCCCAGGATTTTGACCACAAACACACCAGATTTAGTATATGTGTTTGTACTTTGTCAAGTGCACTCATCACAGTCATTCCTTGCCACCTACCTCAGACACGGATCAAACGTGAACTAGATTTCCTTCTCTCTTTAATTGTCCCGACACATTTCACATGAACTATTACACCATTCCTCTCGCAAATTTAGGATTCTATTATGCAGGGTAACTCAGGTAGAGGACTTTGTATTAAATTGGCAATATTCTTTGAATGTGTGTTAAATTAGTCTGTTTTCTCGTGTAGTCCATTTTATACCGTATACATGTCATATTTTACATTTAACACATTGCTGTTAAAAAAATATTCATAATTAAAAATGAAGAAGGGTGCCTCCTATTTCTAATATTGTCCTTGTGTGCAGGTTATGACACCTACAGCTAGCTTTTCAGAATTATCCAATTTGTGAATCCAATTTATATCATTCCACCAAAACATTGATTTGTGAAATATATCAACTTCTAACGGTATTATGTGTGAAAACCCTAAATATATGAACCTGTCCAAGACTATAGACAGCTAGTAGACGATTTTACTGTTTACGTGTGCCGTACCCCAGTCGTGAAGGAGTTCTGCCCAGAGAGTTGGATTTTTACCCATCATTTATTTACCTCATTCATACTAGACCACTTTTCCTGTCGCATCACATGGTACCCTTCAAACACTCACAAAACATAATGTAACATTCATAAAGATGTTGTGCCCAGTCAGTGGGATTTTTTTACCTCATTCATACTAGACCTTTTATCCAGCAATATTTTTACCTCATTCATAATGGACCACTCTTCATGTCATATCACATGGTACCCTTCAAACGCTCACAAAACCTAATGTAACATAATAGACACCCACAGTTCTTTATTTGTTTTCGTCTTAAATATTCATCCTTTAATTATGTTGTACCTGTCAATAGCTGAGAAACATTACTTCATTCCATCTGATGGTGAGATTGCATGCATGTTTCACCCTTTATTATTCATCACCAGGCAAAAGAGAAAAAGAAGGTTCGGATTCTGTCCGATGCCGAGATCTTGGAAAGAACAAATGCAAAGATCAGCCCAGAACCACCTATCACTCCGGTACTTCATAAATCCCCTTCACATCATCATTGATACTTAAAAAGCTTTCTAGATATATTGTGTTCATTTATTTGAATATCAGTGATTGATATCATAATTCTATAAATACAAAAATATTAAACTATATAAATAAGAAGTATTGAGAAATTTTAAGGATTGAGGTTGTCAAATGAAATTGTCAACTTAACATGATATGAATTTTCCTGTGTACTGTCATTGTAACTAATTGTATAATAATCTGCAAAAGATACAAAAAAAAAATGTATATATTTTATTGATTTAAATAACACGATCGAGAGAATAACTCATTTGAACTCGTAAATTTTGTGGTAGAGGTGTTGAACTAGGGTCGGTGTGACCTATATATGAACATGACTTACATTTATTCGCCAATAGGTTAAGGAGGTGAGGCCTATTGTTGCGTCACCAGAAAAGGAGGTCAAGGTCGTTAGGCCTAGCTCTAACATCATCAGTCCAGATCCTCCTCCTCCACCTCCACCAGTTACACCGGTATACTCCTTCAGCTATACAATATAATATACTTGATATTATACTCAATTTACATTTCTCCCTGGTAATATATAATATACTTAATATTATACTCAATTTTTATTTTGCCCTGATGATATATAATATATACTTAATATTATACTCAATTTTCATTTTGCCCTGATGAAAAATGACAATATAACAGCAAATTTGTTAAAGAAAGTTAGGATCTCCTTACCACTGCAAAAAACTGAAAAGAAAACCATACCTTGCGGCCCTTTTATGAGAAATAATAGATGTGAAATAAACAAAACATGATTTACAACAGTTAAAAGAGTTTTAAGTGTAAAAAGATTGTTATACTCTCACTCTAGTATAACCTATTGAGCTACCTGGTCAACGGAAGTACCTGGCCCCACTTGTATAAAACATCTCAACTCTTGAGATTTTCCCAAGTCTAAGATTTTCCATAGACAATATACTTTGCTTGAGATTTTCCTCAATTTTGAGATGTTTTATACAAGTGGCCCCTGGTATACAGGCCATTGTGTGCTACAGTTATATCCAAACGGAAGTTAAGGGGAGGTGACTGTATATAGGAAAAATCACAGTGCAGTGGCACAGGGACCCCTGGGATTCATATTTCATCAGTTTCTGTTTTTACAATGCATTTATAGGATGATTAACAAATTAGTTTGAACTGATTATTGGAAAGATTAAATCATCATAGAAAAAAAAAGAGTTCCAATTTTCTCTTTCTGTAATAAGGAACACAAAATTATATACTCACCAATTTCTATCATAATAAGAAATTCATTCTTAAGATAAAAAAAATATAGAAAAAAAAAGAGTTCCAATTTTCCCTTTCTGTAATAAAGAACACAAAATTATATACTCACCGATTTCTATCATAATAAGAAAATCCATTCTTAAGATAAATCAACATTAAAAATCTTATCCATATTGCCTTTTTAAGGTTCAATATATAGTAATAATCATCGGAGTGTATATAACATTCATCAATTCATTTTTTCAAATAATAAAGCAAACAAATTAATCATCTGTTTCCATTTTTTAAAATTATTTGTTTCCTAATATTGTAATCGTCTAGTTCCATTACCTGATGATATTCAACTTGAATGGAAGAGGTTTAAGAAATTGTAATGATAAAACAATTCTAATCATAGACATTCCCTTCATTGTAAACCATATCAATTCTTCAGACGTAAAACCCATAGATTTTCATATTATAAATATTCTTGAGTAAGTATATATGCACTCCTGTGTATTCGATTAAAAATATCCATTTATGATATAAATATTCATTTACCATAATATTGATGTTTTAATTAATAAAATAAACAAGGAAAGGAGAGGCTCAGCGAGATGTCTCTAGAATATATTACTAAGATGTGGCATTATATAATGATTGATGAATGTTTAGAATGAGTATGTACTAAACGTTGTATTCAAGCTTAAAGCATGACAGAGTTAGATACAAAGCCAGACCTAGCTGAAGAAGCATTTTGTCTAACAATAAAGCTAATATACTAACCCTATAATATTCTTGATGGTCTGCATGAACGGAAACTTAGATATTTATAAGGGATGTCAACAGTTAGTTGGTTAACCCGTCAGGGGACCGCACAAACTAAGTCTTAATATATACATATTAAACTGTGAATGTTTATTGCAAAATTGTAACATTATGTGTATTCATAGAAATGTATATATCTGTGCGTCCTTAGTAGTAGCACGAAGACGTGACGTACCTGGCACCAAACCTTCCGTATCTTACCTATTGTCCTCCTTTATTTGTCATTAGGTAAAGGAGAAAAAGACGCCCATTGTTTCACCTGATGGAATTGTAAGACATACATCATCATAGCTCATCTTCCCGTCATATTGCCACAAACAACAGCATTTATAACCTACCCAGTGCTTATTATACCAGCATGTGCATCCTAGCTATATTAATTCTTTTGCAGCTTTTCCTGGAATTTTTGTTACAACCAACGAAAGGACAAATGAACAAATGATTTAAATATCATTCCAGAGAACCTTATTTCAAATTTGTTACAAAAGTCCTTGTAAATGAAGATTTGGTTGTTGTATCTGGAAAGTCTGCTTTCGACAGACAGTCAAGCTATCCTAAAATAGTGAAAAGGAGAGGGCTTGTATAGGCTATGCCTGTTGCCCAATTACAATTGTTTTTAAGATCTGTACAAAATAATATCCTGAAATGAAAAAAGAAATCTTTAAATATAAAAAAAGATTCAGAAATATTAAGAATGTTAAACAAAAATTCCAGGCTCACCGCACATTGATAATTTATTTCTTTTTTTATCAGTTTAGTATTTATGTTTATACATTTCACATTTCTTTTTTAGCATATTTATTTGCTAATTTATCAGTTTTCTCAATTAATCAAGGTTTTGGGCCTTCCTATCTACGGGCATTTACTGGGAGGCTTTTAGCTTATGCTTTTCAAGTTAAGATTTCAAAAATTATCAAATTGAATTTTGTAATATCTGTGCCAGTACACCAGAGAAGGGATTATGAGTGTGTTCCAATTAGTAGTATTCAAGCCCTAAACTTGTAAGAAGTGATGATGAAACTTTCTATTAGAATAATTGTAAATTGTGGCAAAAATTCATGTAAAATTATGGGAAATAGAAAAATGCGATACATGTAACAGAAATTTGAGTTGATGGAATATAGAAAAATGTGATGATAGAAATTAAGATTTAAATAGTATTGCAAAGTTTTGACAGTTATTTAATTAGAACAGTGTGGAGATCAATATCTAGGTATGATAACACAAGTAGGCGTTAAAAGTTCAAGCATGAAAATTATTCAACTGGTATTTTATCATCAATAAAACTATTTATTAGCTTAATATTATAGATGTTTCATGAATGATGTAAGAGGGAGACAGTTAACATTTTATGATTTTCTCTCACTTCTGTGATATCATTGGTCAATGAAAATGATAGCAGCCATTTATAGGAATTATTTTCAGGAAAATAAATATTTATATGTATAATTTCTATAATGATTGTTATTATGAAACGTTGTTGATTTGTGAATATATATATGTGGAAACCGATTATGGAATCACTCTCTGAAATGCCTTTTGATAAAAAGTGCCATAAGAAAAAGATTCTTTGTCAATTATATCAGTGTGTTATTTGAATAAGTATGTCATTTGCTAATTATGTATGTTTTATAAATGATCCCTATGAATATTTAGTGTGTGCAATTAAATCCTTTATCAGGGTTCCCATTTCCAGTACAAACATTTACGTGTCAAACAAAGTCTGTCTCTAGTGACGTTTCAATCGTGTTATTCCACATTCAGATTGTTCGAAATTTGCATATAATCAAATCTGATTGATACTGCAGCTTACAACATTATGCAAATATTTGACTGTACATACAGGAAATCACATGACATTAAATATAAACTTCATTTATCTTACAACAATTATGAAACAAGTTATTACAAGTTATATAAATCATTCTTGTTGGCCCAGATGTAAGCTCAAGGGGTCTTTTCGTGTGAGTAAACCTCAGTACCCGGAGAAAACCCACGTGGTCGGGCAGGTGACCCTATACCTATTCACGTCCGATTGGGGAATCAAACCCCGGCCGCCTTGGTGAGAGGTGCTATTCACGGTGCCTGACCCGACCACCCCAACATGAAAACCTGAAATGTAGGGTTGTAGGGTGGATTTCCTCGTTTACTTATGTCTGAATATAACTTTTAAAATTGATGAAGTATGAGTGATCTTCAGAATATGTTTTTAAACGATCGACTACTGTTCAATGTGTTTGGTGTCTTCCATTTACACTTGAAGCTTTCCATGTAGCTTAATTTGTTCAATACCTAGCTTAATTACTCCAGTGTCTTTGCCAGGCAGGCATGGCAGCAATGGAAAGGAAATACTTCCAAATTTACACTTTGCTATTTCCTGTTCTTTGTCAATCCAGATATACTTACAAGTGTGTAAGTTTTATTTCTTTTGTGGGATGTTATCTGTCCATTCCGAATGCTATTCCGACAAGTGTTAATACTTGCTCCAAGCTTACGCTTCCTGTACGATACATGTCTCATTTTCAATACATCTGTCTGTAAAGTTTTGATTTCGTCTCTCGTTCACCCGTTGTCAGTATTCCGTCTTTGCGTCTGCGTATTGCAGAGTTTACTGCTCTTGTGATCAGGTATTGATTGTTACGTCATTGGTTTGTGAGAGTAACGTCATCAATTTTTGAGAAAACGACGTAATTTTCTCACACAAACCAATGACGTAACAATCAATGCCTGCTCACAAGAGAAGATAACTCTGCAATACGCAAAGACAGAATACTGTTAATGTGACCAGGCGGAATGCTGTGCTGGGTGCCTTTGGCATGGTATTTCAGTGAGGTAGCACTCTAAAGTCGGCATCAGATCCGCACTATCACAAGGAGGTCAAAGAACACCAACATGCCCTGCCTCCGGCACACATGCACACATACACAACACAAATGGAGGCACGTCCTTTAAATGACCTTAGCTGTTAATAGGACGTTAAACCCTGCACAACCAACTCTCTTGCTGATGTTGGTCAGAGTTAATGCAAGCTTATAGTCTCCAATAGTATTGGCAGAGTTCCTCTGGGAACACGTTGATGTAGCTTTGACTTATTATCTGTAGATAGCTAGCATAGGAATAGTGAATGTATTCCATCAGAGACTGAAATAACTAGGCTATTAGAAAGCACCAATTATTACAAAAAAAATAACATTATTTTGATCTAATGGTAGGGGGAGCAGGGAGATATACCTTATTATTTTACCTTTTTTTTCTGTTCAACAGAAAATGCTGCCATGTCGATTTGTTAGTGGCAAGTAAATACAGAAAAATATAGAAAATCTCTTTCGGAAGCTATGAGTTTGATGTGATCATATTTTGAAGAAAGAAAAAAAAAAAAAAAAAAAAATAATTTTTTAAAAAAAAAAAAAAAAAAAAAAAAAAAAATTAAGTCTTGATATAAGAATGTGGTAACAGTCAACCGGATCTCATTAGCTTTACCAGTAAAACTTACGCCTCATTTTCAAAGAATGTCTGTACACGTATTATTATTGTGGGGGTTATACTGTGATGCAGATGTTTTGAGCATGTGGAAACGGGAACTCAAGGACAATGACCATCGCCAAACATTTTATGTTAATCATTAATGTGTATATTTACAGCAAAAGGAAGATGAACAGAGAAGGAAAGAAGAGAGGAAGCAACAGATAGAAGAAGAAAAGATAGATGAAGAAGAGTTGGCTGCCTTGCCAGCATGGAAACGGGAAATCATGGCTAAACGAGGAGGTGCGCTTCGTAACTGGGGTGATGAGCGCGAGGAAGAGAACGAAGCCCCACAGGAACAATGAGATTACATAATGTCAAATATATAAAAAACGGTTTATAGCTTCAGCCACTGATGTTGTTACTTTGAAGAGTCGTGTTTGAAATACTGTGACAAACGTATACATGTGTGTACGGTTACAAGGTGGAGACGGTTTGAGGCAGTAGCAATGTTGACCATCGGAAGGTTTCACATTGATGGTGTAAAGGTTTAACTCTGGGGTCGCTTGAAGATTGGCGTTTAGTGAGAAACATCATTAATCAAATAACAAGAAGTGTATGGTCACACAGAATGATATCCGTGCAACTTTGCATACAAGATCACCTAAGTCGGAAGTGCTTGTAACGCGCCAATTCATGAAGTTGTTCTACAGGCTTACAATACATTTTACATTCACACATTTGCTTCGGTGGAGTAGTTGTGACCAATTGAAATCTTCATCATAGTTATTAAATAAGGCTATTATATATCCTATGCTCTTTTAGAATACAGTTCTGCTTTGCCAATTCACAGAAAATTGTACCAACGTCAGTAAACCTGATGAACAAAGTTTATGTATAAATCACTATATACGGTGTACAACATGTGAGGGGTATAAGTCTGTCTTGTTTTCTGTCATTTTTATGTCTATAAGTTAACCCATTTACCCCTAAAATCACATTTGAACCTTACCAAATCAAAGACTGGGCAAGTCCAGTTAATAAATGTAGGGGTGAATGGGTTAGAGAAAAAAGACATGAGAACTTCATTGAGACTATCGTATTACTAGAGTGTTATAATGGCTTCTATAAGAGGGCAGTACCAACAACAGTGGCTTGTAGTCAGTGTCATTCAAATTTATTTTTGTAAAAATGTGTGGATGGTTTAGATCTATGGCATTCAAATAATTAAAACGTATCAAATGTTACCGTTTCGTAGAAAAAAATAATTGAAGTGAGAGGAACCGCTTCTGTATGAAGTAACGGTTCAGTATCATGTAACAAGAGGTTAATGGTTCCTTAATGTAACAGTTATTTATAAGAGATCAGTTATTTATGAGGACATCTTTCATTATGAGGTCAGAGTTCAGTATGGTGTAACAGTTCCATTTAAGGATCCCCGTACCACTGCCAAAAACTGTAACTTTGCACCGGAAACTTTTTCCCGCATGACTATAGCTTTGAAAATTCATTACTAAAAATAAAACCATACCTCGCGAGACTAGCTGTTACGAAAAAAATAATACAGATGAAATAAGCAAAATATAATCAATTTCAATGTTCTGAGTGAAAACAATCAGCAGAGCTAGACCGGGGTTCGAACCTTGGACTTCAGATCGCTATACTATCGTTCTAACTGATTTAGCTACCTGGTCAGTTGAAGTGCCCTGGCCCAATAGATATTACAAAATGAAATTAAGGGGAGGTAACTGCATATTTACAAAAACATCACAGTGCAGTGGGACAGTGATCCTTAAGTTCTATGAGGTGTAATGTCAGCACATGTTGAGTCTGGAATGTTGTCCAAGTCGTATTGATTGTCGACTTTACTGTTGTAGATTTACATACTTTAGGTGGATGATGTTACTTAGACTACTTGAAAGATATTTTGTCAGGTAATTCTTGAAAAAAATAAGCCATGTACGTATAGCGAAGATTAGCATTGCTATTTTATATGTCGCGTAACAACGTCACTTCAATGAATTTTTGTATGTATTTATGTTATGGACGCAACGCTTTTTATTTGTGATATTTTTGCTTTGATATTTATCCTGAAGGTCTGTTGTACATATTGTTTATATACCAGCTGTATGATTCTCATACCTAGGTTTTTAAAACAATGAAAACAGATGTATGTACAACTCGTGTAGGGTCCTAATTAACATAAACAGTATTAATTTGATAAAGGAAGTAACCAGATATATCCTGTGTAATTGTATAATACTGCTACTTATTGAATTGAATGGATGTTTCAATTTTAATACTCAACGATTCCTAGGAGGATGTATTGTTCATTTTATACATGTATATTTCTTCCTACGGTTTAAATAGAATCCACAATATTGCTATGATTCAACATTATATATGTTAAGTCCAACTTATTCGTCAACATTGTACTACAGGGGTTACCCTGACTTGCACTCTCTTCACCCCTGAAATATGTCCTTACAATATCGAAGGCTCTGTGTGCGCCACCTTGTTGATGCGACAACAAGACTAGTTGTCTTGGTCTGGTAACGGCAAAATTGACTGGCTTTGAAGTCGGATGACGCTCTTCTGTAATCTTCAAAGGACAGGTTTCAGCCTAGCGATAGGTCCAGGGTTTTTTACCCGAGACCAATCAAATAGCTAACTTTGTGCCTTCAATTTTGCTATGACAGATTCCAGGGCTGCAGAGAGCTGAAGTGAGCGTAACCCTTGGAGTTTCGGGGCTGACATTGTAATAGCTCAAGTTAACGGTGATGATGATATTTTCTCAAGGTGCAACACACGTTTAAAGTGTAAATTAAACTCAAAAGACATTTTTTTTCAGTAGAAACAACAATCAATTACTCTTTTGTATGACAAATATTTCATGGAGGAAACTGCAAGCAGTACATCATGTGTACAATTCAATGTATATTCATCCCGTGTTGTAATTGTCCCATCATCATCAGATATCCATGCCGTTTCATGAATGCATACAATAGGGTGCTATGTTTGTGGCTTTTGATATACTTTTGTGTTTCAGAACTGCTTTTTGAAAAATAGAATTTCTTATATATACAGCGCCATACAGAACTATACCTGAGATTAATTTGATTTTCACTTCCTTCATTTCTAAAAAATTTATGAAGATGCTGAAGCTGAGGTTAGAAGTCGGTTAATATTTTTACATGCCAGTAATTGCGTTACGAATAGTGTTATTACATTTTTGATACTTTCTATCGCAGGAACTTTAATGATTGGTGACGATATTTACATATTCAATACACAAGAGATTAATTATTGTCAATCACTTTTTTTAGCTATAGATATGATGCATTTATGAGCTACTGTGTACGCAACGTTGCCGACACTTGAAAATGTGTAGGAGTAGTGCGTTTCCGGAAATGAAAATCCACAAATTTATTTCTTCTTTCTCTACCTTGAACAAGAGAGTGGATTAGATCACAAGATATTTATTTTTAAAAGGCCAGTGTCTAAAGTAAATGACACATTTGTTCTGATAAACGGACATTTAGCAGGATAAAAGGGTAAGGCTTACAATATATGATAAGGTACGTTCTATAACTTTATACTCATTTTATGGCGATATTCTAGAAAATGGTCATGAGTATATAAATTATATCCAAGGATCGCCGTACCACTGCCAAAAAACTGTATAGAAGTATTGGGAAATATTTTTCCTGGCATGACTATAGCTTTGATAAATCATTTCTGAAAAGAAAAAATACCTTTGGTTTACCATACCGAGACTTTTATGAGAAACAGTATAGGATGAAATAAACAAAATATAATCAACAACAGTGTTCTGAGTGTGAAAAAACACTGCAGGATTTGAACCCTGAACTTGAGACTGCTGACCTACGGCTCTGACCTATTGAGCGTCCTGATGGACAGTAGTGTCCTGACCCAAATCTGCTACAGTTATATCCAGACAGAAGTAAAGGGGAGGTTACTGTGTATAGGAAAAACGGCAGTGCAGTGGGACAGGGATCAGGAAACTATGTAGACGATTCTGAATATGACTTTTAATAAGAGAATTTTTAGTGTTAAGACAATCTTAAGAGGAAGTGTGCAATGTGCATATAATGCATGTACCCAGGTACACAGTTGATATTGGATAGCTACGAGTGATCATGTTATCAATACAGGATATAATTGTACATGTGTGGTAGCGTTACACTCTCCTACAGAACTTTACAATTTTTCCTGGGTTTTTTTCTTTGTTGTCATGTATTTAAGACTTCGGTATTATTCATATATATAATGTATATTACCAGCTTTTTATGGCTTTATTCAAAAGAAAGCAATGCATTGCCGTGTATTACTAATTTATTCTTTTGTATTCATGAATACTTTTTTGTTTCCAATTCTTTATGGAAATATGTATAACTATACACTGTTTACTTGTGAAGATATTAATATTTCTGGATTATATCTGTAATGACGATTTTTTTGAAGTGTAAAATATCAATTTTTTATCAATTTTTAGCAAGTGACATTAATTTTTATTAACTTAATTACAAAAGTCTGTTTTATGTGTAAATGAATGTATTCACAAAATTGACCAGATAAAACTGGTCTTGAGGTTTCCAGTTAAAGGCATATGCTACCCTACGGCAACATGTATTTCCTTTTCAAAAGAGTTCTGCACACATTACGAAACCTGTAAACGAATTTACAAGGAATAGAAAATCCTGGTTTATTACTTAATGACACATTTTATGTTAACATAAATGCATGCATTTGTGATATTCAAAATCAGAAATCACCATGAAACCACTGTAAAACCTTGAAATACTGCCACCATTTAGCGTCATAAAAGGTTTTGACGATATATGGAGAGGTAGAAAGAAATCATCAAGAAAAAGGAAAAACCTTGAAATTTATGGTGATGAGAACATGGAAAATGAAACAGGAATATTATATACAGGTTTTAATGCAGATTACTCTATAAAGGAAACTATATATATAATACGTTCTATAGCATACATCCTTAAATGGGATTTATCGAATGGGTACGCTTTTTACATTAAATAAATACTAGTAGTTGTACAGTGGTGTTGTTTCTGCAAATGGAGACGTCTCACCACTGAATTGTAATCAATCCCTATATAGCTACCTGCAGTTAAATGTGATCATTTAATGACATCATAGTTGATCCATTCAATAACAGGAGATGTGAATTTGGTTTTATACGGTTCTATATATATATAAAAGGAGTTTTAATGAACAAAAAATTCAAATATATTTCCCTACTACTTAGTATCATGTTTGGATCAAGTATAATTTTATTTCATACCTGAACTGCATGGTTTAGAGATCTGCATAGCTATTGCAATTTACTTCGATAATTTCTGTTCCATTCACCCCTGAAATTTTATAATGAACTATTCCAACTTTTGAATTGGAAGAGTTCAAATGTGTCTTCAGGGGTGAATGAGTTAAGGCAATCAAGTTACTCATTAATGTACATCTGAGAAAAGCTTCTTACTACTGACAGTGAATCACTCGTCACTGTACAACTATTGGCGCATTTAGGTCAGTCAGGGCGTTCTATATTAGTATAGTTCCCGTACTCGTGTAGCTGTTGAAGTAAATGAGAGATGGCGTCGTCTCTGTGCACGGATGCCCATGATGCATTTTCGTAAATAAACAAAATCCATTAGAAAGTGTGTCTTGTGTTATCTGTATGACACGGCTTGCTATTAACAAGTTGGGAAAGACTTGCTGGTGGACCATTAGCATGCATTAAAGTAAAATGGACAAAAATGTTACAACATGATTAAAACTTTGGACGAAGTTCTCGTGAAATTCAGTATCAGGAGACACCAACAGGAGCTGAGGAGACTCTCCGAGAGACACCAACAGGAGCTGAGGAGACTCTCCGAGGGACACCAACAGGAGCTGAGGAGACTCTCCGAGGGACACCAACAGGAGCTGAGGAGACTCTCCGAGGGACACCAACAGGAGCTGAGGAGACTCTCCGAGGGACACCAACAGGAGCTGAGGAGACTCTCCGAGGGACACCAACAGGAGCTGAGGAGACTCTCCGAGGGACACCAACAGGAGCTGAGGAGACTCTCCGAGGGACACCAACAGGAGCTGAGGAGACTCTCCGAGGGACACCAACAGGAGCTGAGGAGACTCTCCGAGGGACACCAACAGGAGCTGAGGAGACTCTCCGAGGGACACCAACAGGAGCTGAGGAGACTCTCCGAGGGACACCAACAGGAGCTGAGGAGACTCTCCGAGGGACACCAACAGGAGCTGAGGAGACTCTCCGAGGGACACCAACAGGAGCTGAGGAGACTCTCCGAGGGACACCAACAGGAGCTGAGGAGACTCTCCGAGAGACACCAACAGGAGCTGAGGAGACTCTCCGAGGGACACCAACAGGAGCTGAGGAGACTCTCCGAGGGACACCAACAGGAGCTGAGGAGACTCTCCGAGGGACACCAAAAGGAGCTGAGGAGACACTCCGAGAGACGCCAAGAAAAGATATCTGTGGGTAATGGGTGTTCGGGAAGGACAGATGATTTGTACTCATTTGATGTTTCCCATCGAATCTAGGAAATGATGGCCTATGAAGAATATTAGGACTTTATTCATGGTAAACCTCAAAATATCTTAGCTGGTAGACCTCAAAATATCTTAGCTGGTAGACCTCAAAATATCTTAGCTGGTAAATCTCAAAATATCTTAGCTGGTAGACCTCAAAATATCTTCGCTGGTAGACCTCAAAATATCTTCGCTGGTAGACCTTAAAATATCTTAGCTGGTAGACCTCAAAATATCTTAGCTGGTAGACCTCAAAATATCTTAGCTGGTAGCCCTCAAAATATCTTAGCTGGTAGCCCTCAAAATATCTTAGCTGGTAGACCTCAAAATATCTTATCTGGTAGACCTCAAAATATCTTAGCTGGTAGACCTCAAAATATCTTATCTGGTAGACCTCAAAATATCTTAGCTGGTAGACTTAAAATCTTAATTAGCTGGAAATCATGTCATTGTCACAAATCATTTTGGTTTTTTTAAATGAGACAAAGAACAGGCTCCAGAATAGAGAATCAATTAAATAATGATAATTCTAGGTTCTTATATACCTCTTTATCACAACCTTGTTCTAGGTCGTCTCAAAGCGGTTCACAAATTACGATTGTGATTGTAAAACATATAAATAAGAAGCTGGAATATAACAACTGAGGGAATGACAATTAACAACCCCGAAATTAATATGGCTACCTTTTTCGTCAAGTTTGTAGTTCAGAGATCATTAATGTCGTTAATTTCTATAACCTCAGTGTACCAAGAACTGGACAGTTTTTAGCTAAATATCAATGTATTTTATGCCATTGTATCAATTCCAACAAGAGTACCGCAGGGCGGAACAATATATGCCTGTTGAATGCCATATAGTGCTCTATACTTTCTTACATTGAAATAAGATCTGCATCATTCAAAGAGTGGTTAGCTGATATAAATGTAGGAGAAAATCTCCGGATAAAAAAATCAAATACTGAAATGAACAAAAAAAAAATTGTTGAATCAAAATTCTTTTCAAGGAAACACAACAACATATCATGATTATTTAGTTTACTATAAGTTTCATAGAGATCCGTTGAAAAATGTAGGAGGAGAATGCCGGACAAAAATCAAATACTGAAATAAACAAAGGGCAATTACTTTTGCAAAACTTGTCGAATCAAACTTCTTTTCAAGGAAACACAACTTCATATCATGATTATTTAGCCTACTAAGTTTCAAAGAGATCCTTTGAAAAATGTAGGAGGAGAATGCCGGACAAAAATCAAATACTGAAATGAACAAAGGGCAATAACTTTGGTAAAAATTGTCGAATCAAAATTCTTTTAAGGGAGACACAACTTCATATCATGATTATAATGTATTCCAAGTTTCAAAGAGATCGGTCGAAAAATGTAGGAAAAACAAGTTTGTGCCGGATGGACGGACAGACAACGCCATACTATAATATTAATACTCCCGTCAAATTTGACGGGCGTATAAAAATGATTGTTCATTTTGCATAAACAGAAACCATCCACTTTTCTATTACAAATTTGTTTCTACAGCATGAGGTTCTATAAATAGAACGACGTGAAATACAATCAGGGTCACATAGGCCCTTGAACAGATGTAAATGTAGCCTAAAAGGGACACTTTGGTATTAAGGCTAATATCCCGGGATAAGTTATCAATATCAGCAGAACATTGTAAATGCTGCCTCTTATGACTACCAAGTATACTATCAATTCATGAAATTCCAGAATAATGTTTGCATTTCAGAAATAACTGGTTAGCATCACAAGTAAAGGTGGGTAGAAAGAAGAAGTACAGAAACAAAGGTGATACGTCACTTATTACTCGTCCTCCAGGGGGGCTATGGGGTTTGATACATCACTTATTACTCGTCCTCCAGGGGGGCTATGGGGTTTGATACATCCCTTATTACTCGTCCTCCAGGGGGGCTATGGGGTTTGATACATCCCTTATTACTGGTCCTCCAGGGGGACTATGGGTTTGCACTCTGTCTTTCTGTTTGGATTCCCTCCGTCCCCAAAGTTTGTCAAGGACATATTTTCTATACCTTTTCACCTGAAGCAACCAGATTTGGTGTGTATGTCTTCACTGGCTGAGTGCAGAGTACAAGAAGAATGTCATTGTGACCTATATCCTTAGATAGGTGCACAGCTTGGTAAATAAAGAAATCATTACCGGTGGGGATCTACGGATTGCCTTGCAATACTTTGCCTTGTTTATCATAAAATCTTTAAAAAAAAACAAAAAAACAGCCATTTAGAATCTAGAAATCTGGAGAAGATTGAATGACATTGCAGACAGGTGATTGAGATATACAGAGTGTAATTGATATAAAGACAAAATAAAAAATAATATTTCATATTTTTATTTTGCAATTTACATACAGGATCAATCAACATCAGGCATATGCATTCAGGAAACTTATTTCATGTATTTCATTAAACAGTTGGTCAGTAAAATATGGTTAACATGTTGATGAATGTATAGTTACTACCCGGGGTAAACTCCTCCTATTATGTAAAGGATCCCCGTACCACTGTCAAACTATGTGAAACTATGACTTCAAAACTTCTGTTTCCGGCATGATTGCATAGTTTTGATAAATCATTTTTTCATAAGAAAACTAAAGCTTGCGCAACTTTTATGAAAACATACTGGATTTTGATGAAATAAAAAACCATTATTAACAAATGTGTTCCGAATGTTAAATTTGAATTCTGGACTTCTGATCGTACATATGTACCATCACTGAAACCCAATGAGCTACCTAGACAACGGAAGTGTGCAAGCCCAAATGTGCTACTGTTATATCCTATAATGGAAATTAAGGGGAGGTAACTGTGTACAGGGGAGGGGAAAACGGCCGTGAAGTGGGACAGGAATCCTTTAATAACAATATCTATCGAAACCATCATCTACACTTACTGTACACACATTCAGCTCACCTAGTTTATACACAGTTTTTCCCAAACTCATAATATGAATATTTTGTTCACATACATACATTCATCGTACAACATTACCGTTTATATACATCAGATTACCAATAGATCTTTTCAACTCCTTGGGGGTTTGAACTATTACGCTAAATTACGCTTGCGTTAGTTGCTGCTTTTTTCCAAAGTTTTCTATTGCACAATTTGTTGGTGCACCAATTCATCAAGGCGTCAATCTGTTAAAATCTGACAATGTGCTAAAAATAGAGTGCGCCAAAATTAGTTTGTTCACAGTAATTGAACAACCTCACTCATTGCCTGGTTTATGAATATTTTCAGATTACATACATGTAGGATTCTGTTTAGAAAGGTACTATATAGACTACACTATTTTTACAGACACAATAACAATAAATTATTTTATAATGATATACATCGAGGTACAAATATGTGAACACAAAAGTCCATGACAACAATAATAACATTGCCGGCTTCTATTGTACTCTATTTAAATGATTATGCAGCATGTTTAACTGCTTCAGGTATAAGACATTTTCACTGTAGGATGAGAAAACATACGGGGTCTGAACAAAAATGATGTCAACTTTTTGGATAATACAACCGTTTCTATCAACTAAAACTGCTGGCCCTGTGATTATGAAAGAATTTAGAAGTTAATTTTAACTTCTGAATTTCCATATCAAATTATGAGATTACATTTTGAATATTTCAGGAAATTTAGACAAACATTTAAACTGGACTTAATAATCTACAGCTTCTCTGTACATACAGTAAAAATAATAAATACTCATGTACATATACCCTGTTGAAGAAACAGAAGCTTGAACTGCAGAATTCAGAAATAATCCCTTGGAAAATCTTGGGTATTACTTAACACTGATTCATAACATCAGGCCAAAAAATATATGTGTGTTTCAGGTAACATGTTCGAAAAAAATAGGGTAGCTCGTTAGGCAAGTAATTTATTTCAATTCTAATTTTTCATCTTCATTGATCAATGTTATGGTTTATATCAAATTTTACAATGCATTTCCACACGTTACACCGACTATTAATTTGTCAGGAAGATGGTCAGACTCACAGAACAGGAAGAAAAAACATTGTAATGAGCAGCTGTGAACTTTGCCTTGCTAATAAATTAATCTGAGATACAAGTAGTAGGTGATAAGATTTCTAGGGTCGGCAGGACAATCTATGGTAGGTGGGATACCTAAAACACAATATTTGTTTTGACCTCACCATCCAAAAGCGGTAACTAGGTAATCGGCACCAACTCTTGCTGTACATGTTCCAATATAGGTACACTTATTCAATATCAGGACCAATATATACACAACGACTTACAGGTCTCAAGTTATCATTTCGTATCTAATGAGGAAATTACGACTATATCCAAAAACAACAAATATTCATCGATGTATAATATTACTTCAATTGATACCCGAGAAGTTCTAGCAAAAGTGCGGACAATGAAATCAGTCAGATTTAAAACCCAAAAGGTTATGCTTTACCTTCAGCACAAAACAGGTTTTTTTAACATCATTTTGTTTTCCTTTTATATTTTGTGATTGTTTGGTATAGTTGGTATAATTGTATCTTGATAAAAGGTTCATTTTTACTGTATAGCGGGAAATGTTCGTCTTTTTTCGCCCGCCCTAATAAATGGTGAATTTATCATTACAGCGAACACTAGTAAACAACATACAATGTTATATACATAGAAATAAAATAATAAAATGAGAAGGGAAAATTTATTTGGGCGATAATGGATTTTACAATCGAAGAGCGATAAATTTTTCTGGTATAATTTGTATACAATATATCTGCCTCGAAAGTTTGAAAAAATTTCACAGACCACACTGTTGCTACAACAACTTATATTTAGTATACATAAATTATCTGAACTGGGTAAATTGACAAAAGAAAGTGCTACATTTCCATCTTTGCAGTCACATTTCCACTTTTTTATGCTACATTTCCATCTTTGCAGTCACATTTCCACTTTTTTATGCTACATTTTCATCTTTGCAGCATCATTTTCACTTTTTTATGCTACATTTCCATCTTTGCAGCAACATTTTCACTTTTTAAAACATAGTGGCGTAATGTTAACTCATCCCTAGTTAATTAACCTGTGTTTTTGTATAATTTTCTTGCATTTCATCAAATTCAATTTTAACTTTTTTTCTACACTGTATATACCGACTCAATATATGTTGGAAAGATGAAGTTATGCTACAACACTAAATCATTTTTCTTTCGATAATGTTAAAAAGTCCATCTTTCTCTCTCACTCAAATGCATTTCCATATCTTGGTAGACGGTAACTATGGTAGCGATCACTTTGCCGAGCTGTTCATTCTGTATAGGTGTTACCCACAACTGTTGGCGTCCCTCCGAGGGTACATGGCTTTACCGCGGTGGTTAAAACAGTAAAACGACTGTCTGTTACTAACCATATCCCATGTTCTACAACAGGAGACAAAGCAAAAAGTTTAATTGAGTACATTTTAAACATTTTAATTTTGTTTGGGTAAACAAAACAATTTGTTCATATTAATCAAATTAAAAGTTTCATGAAAATCAAAAGTTACCAATATGAAAAACATTTTAACTGTTTCTTATAGAGTAGAACTCTTTTTGAAAGAATATATTTCCTGTTACATACAGTTTAACTTCCATAAATCAAACTTCGAAGATTTCAAATTTCTAGATGTATCAAACTATCAGTAAAGTCCAGTTTTTACCCTTATATAAAACTGCTGATATTCCATTTATAAAAATGAACTTTTATGAATCGAATTTCTCGCTGTTTCAACTTGCAATCAAGGTCTGATCGTAAGGTAAACATTGAAAATTATAACTTATAATTCAAAGTAAAACAACTACATGTACCTGTACGAGAACATTGAGATATCCCTTGGGTCATTTTACCATCTAAATATGCTAACTACATATTTTTCTAACTACATTAAAAACCAATATTATATATTTCAAATTAAATATCTTGCCTTGTGTTCCATCATTTAACAATTACAGTTGGTTATACAGGATTTCCAAGAAGTTCAACATTCTTAGTATTGATGTGTCAAATTTTCCCCGATGGTCCCGTAAAGTTCGAAACATTGAAGCTAAACTGTATGTAGGTAGGATATCTACTTAACATAATGACTTACTATACATATCACAGGTAGGTAGGATATCTACTTACTATAATGACTTACTATACATATCACAGGTAGGTAGGATATCTACCTTCATAATACAAAGAGGTACATGTACTCTACTATACATACACCCACTAAACTACTTACTTGCTATCTTGTTCTGAGCTTGCTCGGATTTCTCGGAAAGTTCCAGATATGTGTACAACTGCGTAACACGTCAGAAAGAGCCCAACAAAGCACTGGATTATAATCTGTCCAACAAATACATTCATATTTAGTGTAGCCACATTTTAAAGATATACATTTTACTACTGAAATGGATCAATTTTTCACAAACTTGTGTTAAAATATATTTTCTGAAAAATGGTTGAAGTTATATTACCTCCCTTTGCCTCTTAAAACAGAACATTTCTTGATTTTTTTTACTTGGATTTTAATTAATTGTCATGTTTAGGGATGAACAAAAGAAGTTTTAAATCATTGAAACTAATGCAACATTTTGTAAATTATCCGTAAAAATAATTGATCTGTGTTGCCCCATTCAGAATTGATTGACCAGGAGCCTTTTCACTTCCCCTATCCCTTCTATGAATTGTGTATTAAATGAAATTCACTTACATCTAACGGTAGTTTTGTGAATTCCTGTTCTGTTAATCTCAGATATGATCTGTCTGTAAAGAAAACCAACATATACAAGTTAAACAGTCTTAATATTGCTACTGTCAAAACATTACAAAGGATGTTGTCTATCACAAAAATTAAATACCAATAGGAAATTAGTTTACAGGTTTATAAAATGATGATGTGCAAGAACTGATACGTACTCCCTGCAGTATGATAATTGTTATTAATATATTGTAGGTTTTAGTTTGAAATCATAACAGCCTTAGCTTAAACAAAAGAGTAAAAAAAAAATGAAGATTTAATTAGGTAGACAAAACATTTTGTTCTGCAAACATTAGACATCTTTTTCAAAGGGCAACTTCCAGGTATATATTGAGTGTTTTTTATACAACGACTTAATCTCCGACTCAAAATGACTGTAAAATATTTGGGTAGACAGTATTGAGTGAAAATATGATATGTACTTGTAGGGAACACAAAAACACAATGTTTTTCGCCACAAGTAAACAACAGAGCTGGCAATATACATTATATTACAGTACACTGTAATCTTAAAAAACATGACAACAACGAAAGAAGAGATCCTAGAATGATCTTGCTACCCACCATCAAAGAATCTTAATCAGATCTACAAAAGGTGATCCTTTGTTTATACAACTCTCAGTCCCCTTTGCCAAAGAATGTTCCGGACCGAAGCTTGTTCAAAAAACCCTTTACTAATATGCAAGGAGTAGGATTTACCTGTATTTCCCAAATTTGGTCTTGCCTTTCTTCCCCCAGGGGGGGGCAACACAACATTAAAGCCATTTTGGTCTCTTTGGAGTATAGATTATGTCCCCTTCTCCTAAGGTTGCTCCAGACCAATTTTTAGCATAAAATCCCTTTACTCAAGGAATAGGATTTTAAAGATTTACCTATATTTCCCCTATTTGTCCCACTGCCCTAGAGGGGCCACACCCTTCCATTAAACAGCATTTGATTCCCTTTGTAAAAGGATGCTTCAGATCAAATAAGTTTCAGATATCTTTACATGTACTCAAGGAATAGGATCTTAAAGGATTTAACTATTTCTTCCATTGGCCCGCCCCTCTGCCCCCAGCCTTCATTTGTTTATACAACTCTGAGTTCCCAGCTAACATCCCATATTCAAAGAAAAGGATTTTAAAAGATTTACTTATACCTCCCATAATAGGACCCGCGCCTTTCAGCTCTGTCCAGATGTGGGCTTCGTTTATACAATGTTATTTATAAGTCACCTTCTCCCAAGAATACTTTCAGCTGTTCCAGAATAGTAAAAGTTGAAGGACGGACATATGATGGATGCAGTGCAACGGCATAAGCTCCCATATAAAAAGAATTAGTAGAAAATATATTTGTTAGCATATTGTTTTTAGTAAAATAGGTGAAATTTACTTGTTTTTGCTTCATTTTCTTCAACATACTCGCAGACGTTAACTAAGTGTAAACTTTCACTACACAACAACGATGCGGTATGCTCACAGCGACGATCAGGGCACAGAAAAACAGGTACTCCGTTACAAAGCATTACATCAACCTCGACAAAACCTAGCGGCGATAAAGCTTCTGAGGAAGAGACATTTGTTTTATATATTGACGGGGCAGAGGAGGCCGGGTATTAATATTAGTAATAACACCGGGTTTGCTCCATTACAAGGCATTGGGTCGATTAATACCCGACCGGAGCAGAGGAGACCGGTATTAATATTATTACTAGACAAACCATTGTGCTGTCACCGCCCGCTATTTGATAAAAGCCGGAATCAGGTCATGTGATAAGTGAACAGTGTCACTTTAAAAACTTCACAACTTGCTGGAAACTTACGTTGTGCTGCTGAATAAGCGGCATGTGCCATCGCTAACAGCCCAACCACCACACATGTTTTGTGAAACTCCATCTTGTCAGCTTCTACCGGAAGTTCGTGATCATAAACTAATAAAAGAATATTTCCGGATAATAATTTTCCGGTATTTAGTATAGTGAAAATGAATGATATTTTAGAAAAGTGAAAAATGTTCCAAAGCAGTTTTGCTGTTGTTGACATATAGGTGCTCGGGTTTTGGAACATATGTGACATATTATGATATCCTACATCACTATACTTATAAATAATCCGGTTTCAGAAAAGCTACAGTAACTGTTAAAATATGATAACGTTATTGCAGGCAAATTCGCTATTCACCCAAATTCGCCACCCTGTGCCGAAAATGCCATATAACATCATAATACAAAGGGCGTGACGTAAATTACGTCACCATAGTCTTCAGCACAACTGAAACCCTTACTAATGTGACGAATTTGCCTGCATTAACGTTACATGTATGTGGTTAAGTATCACACATCACTGTGTACCGTTCCCACTATACTAATAAATCATATATAAGGAAAGGATATCAATTGTTTGAAATGCACACCAGTGTTTTTTGTTTATTGATGGATGCAACACTCAGATTTTCGGTGTTTACCTGAAATACTGATATCAAACATTTGAGAAGCTTCTTGCAACAAGCTTTGCAGTCGGTCCCTCAATCTCAATCCCTGACCGGCAAGGGTAAGTTCTGCAGGAAGGCCGACACTAGACGCCTCCTAAGAAACACAAGCAGTGGGATAAAACAGGCCCTCTCTTGGTTTATTTTATGTCCAATAAACAGAAAACAAAGGAATTTGGTTCTGGGGTGATTCATATATGTTTGCATGTCTGCTGCCGGCGGTATGTTGATATATATATATATGCCTCTTTGCGATGGCCCGGATCTGGTACAGACTTTGGAGTGCTACCTCACTGAAATACCAAGCCTTGAAAGGCTTGTGTGATACAGTTTCTGTGACATTCAATTGATTGTTTTTTATTATAAGATATATTTTCACATTTTAATATTTTAATTTTTAAATTTATGGATTCGTTTTTATGAACATCTATTTTTACAGTATTGTTTGGCCCTTGATTACTTAAATTGTCGATAGGCCCTAAAACAATATAAAAAACAGTTGGGAACGTATAGTAAAAATAAAACATCCCAATTCTGCATGTCATCCACATTAGCGACCTCAGAAGTTGCCAAAGTTATTGTTCTTTATATCCCCAAACCTGCTGGGTATTTGAAACTAAAAACGTTATGATCCATTTAGTCCATTTTCATCCCAACCTTGCATTGGGTACATGTAGTTTGGGTTATTTTGTTAAACGCCCTATTAACTCTTTCCGTACCGCAAATCCGGTCCGGATTCCGTACCGGATGTCCTTACTAGACTCGAGTCGGACCTTTTCAGGCGCATCAGCCCCCGCAAGGACCAGAAGTGGACTTTGGGGTGCTGCCTGTATTTCCTAGCAAGGGCTGCATTCAGGGCTTCCACTAGGTTGTTATACTCCGTGGACGTCATCCCTCGTGGACGGTATCTATAAAAGATACTCCCGATAATGATGGTTGGGGGTCGGGCTTCTCCAAAATACGTCCAACCAGTTGGTCGATGTTTCGAAGTATTCCCTCCAGTGTCGACATTGCAGTGATGTCATTTACCGCAACCTGCAGGAAAACTTTGGAGACATCGGTGTTCATAAACTTAGGAATATATCGCTATGTATGAGTGATATAGCCGTAGCTCCCCCTTTACCAAAGAACAGGACATCGTCCAGTAATCCAGTCCTGGCCTTTTCCAATCTGGTCACGAAACTATGTCCAAGGATAGCTGTGTTCGCCATGTCCATAACAATACCAACTTCGTTTGAAACGCTGTTTTTTATATCAAATATAACAATAGAAAAAACTCAATGGTACGTACTTTCCTATTGGTAGACCAATATCGATCCACATGTTATCAGTTATGCTAATCGGAGGTTAACACGACAGGTCATTATGGTCTGAATATAGTTTTTTTTACTTATACGTATATAACGTTATTTATTTTTTTAATTTAAATTTCTTGAATTCAGAATTGAGTTTTGAATTTTTTTAATGAAACATGTATTCGTGTCTTGTACGATTCGAAATTCCATTAGTTTGAACTGTGATCTATACCTATTCGGACACCTTTGCCCAAATAAGGTGTGCTGAAAACGGGCACATGCACGTGAACGCCGTGTTATACACGCACCGTGATTAGGTATTCGTATTCATTCACTGGCCAGCCTTTGGAGAGCGACTATCAGAAGTTTGGTGAGGTTGAATCTGATTGAATTTCGATTTACGTGTGTACTTAAATATTTAATTTATATAATAATTAACGTATACATACACTGGTACATAACACACTATAACACATATAGATATATATAGATTATACACGCATTTGAACATGTCTCGTAAAGTATGCGTATCATGTAATACTCGTTGTGATTCACGGCGTTATGTTTCCTGTACAAAGTGTAGTACTCATTTCCACATTAAATGTGAAGATATTTCTGTTGCCGATGTCGTTATTATAGAATCCTCTCTTTGTGGATACACTTGTATCGCTTGCTGCTCACGAAATGGCAAGTATGACTAGGATTCTGCTCTCATCAGCTTTCACGTGCTATACAGTCGAATAACTTGGCTAATGTTGTTAGGGTAAAGAAGATCTTGATGCGATTTAAGGAATCGGTTTTGTCTCTCAAACCGAGTATTGTATGTGACGTCTCTTCAAATTTAAGGGCCGATACTGTAACCCTTGGTTTGGTGAACAATACCGTTTCAGACATGACGCCTGTAAGCGTTATGGGAAACGGCAATTGTCTGTTCAACGCATTATCTGTCGCTATCAATGGTGATGAAAGTTTAGGTTCGGAATTGCGTGTTAGGACATGCATAGAGCTGGTGTCGAATCAATCTTTTTATGAACCCTACCACAATCAAGCCAATATTTCGTTTGTAAGCCCTTGTTTCTCTCACGCATGTAGGGACAGTGCCCTGAATGGAGCGTTTTCGTCTGCTTGGACAATTCATGCTGCCTCTTCTATTCCCTCCACTAGAATAAGGTCCATCTATTCACCTGTTAATGTGGTTATCTAGACAGCCATATCGGTATTTTGAACACAACCTTCACACCTAGGACAGAGTGTGCTATTTCTGACACCATATGTATAATATGGACCAGCTGTTCTCCTGGTGTTGATGGTACATGGGCGCCAAACCACTTTGTTCCCCTGTTAGACAACAAATCTGACTGCATAATACCCCTTGACGACACAGATCATTTTCCGACATTGCATGCTGCATCCGAGGTGAAACAATGTAAACGACATAAACTGAAATTGCCCAAATGCCCCCGATTTCGGACAAAACTTGACTTGTCTGACAATGTTGCAGAGGTAAGGGATACATTTGATAGCATGAGTGACAGTGCTGACAGCTTTCCAAGTTGCCCTGACCCGATGTTTGATGACAGTGACGATGCCACTATACGATTCAGTGACTCCGACTTTGAGATTGACGAACATACGCCCCAACTTCCAGCCCAAAGTACAATTACCAACAAACTGACGAATGTTTAGTTTTTATCTCTGACTGAGGTTTACTCGATGGTACAGACGGCGAATTTTAGCGATGCTCACACCACTGTCCCCTCTGGTCGTAAAGATAATGTATATTTCATAATTGATAATACGACCAACAGATCGCGGATGGACAATAATAGGAGGAGGGAATTCGTTGATGATTGCGGTGCTTGGAACACAAAATCGACATCAGTTAAGGACACCTATTTTCTTTTGACAACGACGGGTAATCTCGTTACCATTTTGAAACGCGCAGATGTGTTTTGTAAGATAGTTAAACAAAAAACCGTACCACTTAACCCACAGCCAAAATATAAATTGGACGAGATTTTTGTACTGAAACGGTATTACGCGACCCTTGCACGCGACGCTTCCTATAAAAAAACGTATAAGTTGGTTCGACGGAATGCCAGGGTTTGACGTGATGAACATTGCTATTGCAGAGTATTTAGGAATATTTCCTTCATAGCCCTCTATCCACGGCCGTTCTAAACGTACAAAACAAGAGTATCAGCGCGCAACCCGCGCTACAAAGGAGACAATACACGATAGATTAATTAACAAACAGGCTCCGAAAGTCATTCTAGACGACATTAAGTCATTGGACGATTCTATGAATGAACCTAGAGACCTTAAGCAAATTCACAATGCCAAGTATCTTTTGCAGAAAAAACGTGACAACAACCAACCAAACAGTTATGGTCAGAATACGGCGGACGGACGTGTGTGTGATCTCAATGAATCCATGACAGCAATTTCATACGAGAAGTAATTGTGACAAAAGGGAAACCCCCTTCAGTTATCCTTTATACCGACAACCAGCTGACGGATATGAAAACCGCTCGACCAAAAACGGCGCAATTTTAGGAATTGATAGGACATTTAACCTTGGGCCATGCTTCGTTACTGCCTTAGTTTTTAATAACCCCAATTTGGTTAGGAAATGTAAGCAACATTCTCCTATTATGCTTGGTACTGTTTATTTACATTGGGATGTGAGCTTTTTCACGTACTCGCGGTTTTCATCGCATATTGCCAGTGTCCTTGATCTTGACTTTAACCTGTGTGACCTCGTTTTCGGGTCTGACGAGGAGAAATCTTTAGTTAAGGCCGTATAAACCAGCTTCCCCGATGCCACGCTTACTTTCTGTACACAACACATACAGGAAAACGTTTCGAGACATTTGTCAGTTAAAATTGGCAGGACTGATAAAGACAAGGCCCTGATCATGTCATCAATCTTTGGTGAAGATGGTTTATTGAATTGTGATTCAATAAAAGAATTCGATACCATCGCACAAAAGATTGATGAGTCGTATGGAACACGTTCAGGAGGATATTGGTCAGTAAAGATTTACCAACGATTAAGCACAGGGTGATTGAATCGAGATTGCGCAATGCTGCAATTCCAAAATCCAAAAAGTTGGAAAAACAACAATTGCGAATCGATGAATCACATCTATCAACGGTTCCCGAGCTGATTCAGCGTTTGGATACCATTCAACAATCGCAGTACCCTGACGTACGTAGATCGTTGCATGGTACCGGAGACTATGAATTGGCCGCGCACGCGTAGCATTTCAAGTTGAGCACAGTTGTGTGGCGCGAATTGTCAACGTTTGATAATGCGCGCAAAGTTGACAAGTTCCTATAGTATGTGTGGAAGAAAACAGACTTTTTAACATCTACGAATGGTATGTAAGCAATACCGAAAACCGCAGCAATCGCCAAAAAATAGGGACGCGAAAACGTGTTCGCGCAAATCGCACCGAAACGCACGGTCCTGTTAAACTTAGCTTAACTTAGTTAACTTAGTTCTCTGATGACAAATACGCTAAATGAAGAACTTTTTCACGCTTTCACAACACTTGTGTGCCCGCAGGACGGGATTCAAGATGTGAAATGTATTGACATTTGATTTTTTTACGAATTTGAACAGAGAAACAGTTATTCTTGCGTATAGAGACAAAATGTATTTGATTATATAAAATACCGATATTTACACCTGTGTGCCAGTTATTTCAGAAGAAGTTTAAAACGA